AGTATCTTTTGTGAGGCCACATGCTACCTCATTGCAGAGAGATAAGATTTTTGTAATTCTAAATAAATATAAGCTCTGAGCAAAGAAATCCTTTATAAATGTTCTTTTCCAGTAATCATTTGTTTCACTGAAACATTCCTTCAGTTGTTTTATTTGTTCTTTTTTAATTCCAGTGTTAGCAGAGGTTAGTGTTTATTTTTTTTTAAAGCCTAGATTAAAGGAAGGGAAAGATGATGTGCAGTGATGTAAATACTGTAAAATAAGGTGATAAATGCTTGTGAGCACTAAAGGGTAGGTGGAAGGTTGCAATTTGAGATTTAGCTTGCTGTGTTCTGAATCTGTTATTGCCTTAAGGTGTGGCTCTCTTATCTCTCTTCGCCACCATGCCTTTATGTTGAATGGATGTGGATTTTCAATTCAATATTTTTCTTCCTATTATTAACTCTTCAGCAGGAAGTGTTTGTCATGTGAGACAGTTATGGGGTATTGTGCAGTAGATAATAAAGATAGTTATTCCATGATAATGTACTGGTCACCTTGAAAGCAGACACATTTTCTCCTGTTATTTTCCCCCCTGGGCTTGTATTTGCTTAGATTTTTTCTGAGGCTTACATTTGCTTAGTCTTTACCTAACATCCAAAATACTATTGGATGGAGTCTACCTGCACTATGAGAATGATGTTGCTAGTAAACTATCCCAATTAATGATTCCCTTTCATGATTTCAGTGTGCACATGATTTCATTGCCTTTTGTACATGCCTTGCACACGCCAAATTTGCAAAACAAAGCCTTTAATGAGTGGCAATCTGCTTCTGCCACCACCTCTCTTGTTATACAGGTAACAAGATTTCTGCCTGACAAGATTTCAGCCAAAGAATCTTTATGAATGCCCCCAAAACAGGAAGGATTCCACCCCCCAGTCCCCCATTAGGCTGGGCCTTTACACATCACAAAAAAGAGTAAATGCATAAGCAGAAGTGAAGGACAAAAAAAGGACATACATTTGCATAAAATTTGTATGCTAATTTAGATTAAAGATGCAAATTTAGAAATAATTACTATAATATAGATAGAAATAATATACAGCTCATCATAATGGGAAGGACTGTGACCAGCTGGTTTTACTGCCGGCTAAGTCTGCCACCCAGATGTTGGACGCAGATAAGCTACTTCAAGATCCCCTTTTTCTCTTCTCATGGCTCTTCTTCAAAGCAGACTTGGATTGGGCAACCCATCAAAGAGAGGATGCTTTTCAAGTTCTTGTTTCAGATAGGAAATTAGCCTCTAAAAACCAGAACACACAGTCACCTTACATTTACAAATGACCTGTACCTCATTTGCTGAGAATGGACTGATCCAGCTGAATACGTTTTGGACTCTACTCATTGGGGAGGAGGCTTGCTATGAGGGTACTGTTAACACCTGCACGTCTACTTTTGCTACTACTCCACTGGTCCCAAATAGAATTAATCTCCTCTTTCTTTGTTCGTGTCAGAGCCACCATAGCATGATTAAATAATACGTCAGATTATTTTTGCCCAATAATGGGCAACATCAAGAGCATTTGAGCAGTGAATAATAAGTCTTCCATAGGATGTGTGGAGGGACATAGAGTACACTGAGTACACACATAAGTGTGACGTTCCCTGTTCTTCTCTTTACAGTGGTGCCTCGCAAGACGATGTTAATTCGTTCCGCGAAAACAGTGTCTTGCGAAAACATCGTCTTGCAAAACACGCTTCCCCATCAGAATGCATTGAAATCTATTTAATGCGTTCCAATGGGGGAAAATCGTCTTGCAAAAATCGTCCATAGAAAACATCATCTTGCGAGGCGCAACAGCGATCGCAAAAAACAATTGTCTTGCGGAGTAATTGTCCTGCGAAGCAATTGTCTTGCGAGGCACCACTGTACTTGCAAAGGACTGTGTCAGTGCAAAGACCCAATCTATGGTTCTCTTTCGTTCTGCTAGTTCCACTCCACAACCTATTAAGTAATGTCTGAATAGCTCGGTTCCAGGGATGGGGACTAGAGTCACAGTGCTCACTGTCAAGTCAGACTTCAGTCTCACTGGTGACTCAACTCGAACTCAACTTGGTTTCCCCCCCAAAAAAATATTCGCACTCAAATTGGAATCCACCTACCCCTCCCCTTTTTTCTGGGAAAAAGAGATTGTTTTTAATAGGAACTCAGGCTTAGGGCTTGAGACTTGGTATGGAAGACTTTGACTCAGACTTGGGACTTGATACCAAACACTTGGACTTGAACCTGTGACTCGGACCCAAAGATTTGCCAACATCCCTACTCAGTTCTCTGTGTGGCCTGGAGCTAGGGCTTCCTGTGATCCAATCCATTTTAAGAGGTGATTAGTTCTTTCATCCCACACCATAGTGTTGGCACACGTACTCTGCTGTTCCTTCAGCATACCTGTTCAACCATACAGTATATAGTAATGCTCCGCTCATCTAAGATAAAACCAAAATATGAGAGGGATTTGGTGTTTTGTTTTGTTTTTACATTTTCAGTTTGTACAGACTTTTCTACTCTGCCCTCTTCGAGTGCAAAGGTGTTTTTTTCCTGGGTGTTTAAAATAAAACTCAGTATTCTATACTTTCAGTTAAAACCTCATTTTGCACCTGTATCCACTATTTTTGCACTCAATATGCTGTCAATTCAACACTGATGCTTCTGAATAGCTCAAACTACTAGAAAAATTCATTGTGGCCTCTTATACATAAAAAGGTATTTCTGGTTGCAGGATGCATTGTGCGAATGAGGTCTGAGTATTAAACACTCCCTACAGCTTTAACTCAGTTTTTATGGCAGCTCATAGAGGCAGTTGCTTAGCTTTCATAGAGAGGTTTTCATAGATACATTAATCAGGCTTGGATTTTCCAGTATCTACTAAAATCTTTATTGCTACTTAGTCACACATTCACCCAGCCAACAATTGGCTGCCAGTTGAAGCCAAATTTCACTTTTCTTTGTCTATGATTTAGCTAATATCTTCTATGGCTACCCATTAAGCCCAAGTTCAGCTACACTTAGACTTTGTGATGCATTACATCTAATTTTTCAAGTAATTAATTTGTTAGGTTGTTAATGAAACCCAGAAGCAAAAATTGTAACATGGTTTGAGACCTCTTATAAAGAGGTAAAGAATCCTGTGAGTGTATCATGCTAGTCGAGGGCAAACATAACACTGGTTCCTTGACAAACCATGGTTTGCAAACTGGTACCCAGTCTTGTCAAATGTATATAAGATTTCCTTCCTTCCTTTTTGAGTGTTGAACCCTAACACAAACCAGGTTTACAATTTGAAACTCATCTTTGGAACAGGATTGCTTCTTAGGAAAATTAGATATGTTTGTGCTCATCATGGTTTGTGTCCTTATATACAGTACATCACACAAAACCATGACAAACTTCCAAAAGGTAAAGGGACAAGAATCACTTTCTATGCACAGGTGGCTTAACAAAGAACTCAATGTATTTTATGCTCCATTCTGACACCTCCTGCCACTGGCCATGTTGAGAATTATACTTCAAAAAGTCACTTTTTAAAGCTCTGAAAAGGAGCAGAATCTCCTTGGACCTCCTCACAAAAATAAAGGGTAGTTGCAGCATAGTAGCAGAAATGAAGTACAGGTCATGGCAAAGGGGTAAAGCAAATGTTTGAAGGCTTTCCCATGTGTTATTTTCTGTATTGATGGTTTGCCTTGCGGGGGAAAGGAAATGTAGTTTCTTATTCTGAAGGCTGACAGGAAGAGAATTTGACTGCACACATTCTCCTATTAAAAGGATGATGTGTGAACTGGCCTTCTGGCAGTAGGGTATCTAATGGATTTAAATGTGACACTGAGTTATCCGTTGGCTCTGATATGTCTTACCACTTGTCTATTTTATTTTTAACAAATAATGCTCCAGAGTTCTTCATATATATTTGCAAACACACTTCTTCTGTCCACAGGTAAAGTGGGAGGGCATGTAATGTCTACAAACAATGAAAAGTGAACAGGATGGGTGGGTGTGTCAAAACTTCTCTCCTTCCTCTGCCTTCTTCCATTCTGCCCCGTAGCTTTTCAGTTTCTAAGCCATTTCTCACAATGCAGTTCTTTCTTCTACCTGTCAGGAACAAGACAGTTATTTAAAGGTATGGAGTGCAATGATGTAAGATGGGATAGAAGAAAGTGTTCATGCTCCTCTCCAGCAAGGCCAAAGGAAGCATTTCACAGCCCACATGCATACACTCCTGGCACCTTTGAAGCCCTTGTACTCTCAGTGTGTGTGTGTTGTTGCCGTAATTTGAGGGTACCCCCACTTTGCTACTACAAATCACAATGATTTTTTTTCAGTATAAAAAAAAATAAACTCTTCAAATTTTGATAGGAAAAATGAAGAGATGGCAGTTGCAGGGGTAGATGTGGCTGCCAAAGCCAAGAAATGGGCATGTTCAGCACCAAGACTTCTGGAGGCTTCTCAGCCTGGATATAAAGGGTCCGTCCCTACAACCTCTGCCTTATTCCCTTTGCTGATAGCGAGGGAATGATTTCCTGGTCAACGTTTTCGAACACTTTGCATTGATTTGGTAAGACAGGAGTAGTTTGTTTAATAAAGACTGGCTACTATAGCAGGCAGCTTCCATTAATCACATAGGCCGTCATTTCTGGCACATTTCCAGATGACATTGTGAGATTGCTAAAATCTTGTAGCAAAAGAGGTGGATTCATATGAGATTCAAACAAAATCCTAGATTTATGGGTGTGTAGCATCACTAACATAACAGAAACTGATCCTTTTGAGACAAGGAAGAAACATGCATTTTGTTAGCAGATAAAAGGATTTGTCAAATAGACAGAAATGTACTTACCTGTTGCTTCTTTCCTTTCTTTTCAGTTGCTAGGTGGATTTTCCGTATCCACCCTATACTTTTTCTTCTTACTACTCATGATTATTTTTAGTCCAGCTACATCCCATACAATTTATGTCTCATTTCAAGGCCATCCATTGTGATGTCAGGGTGGTGGTTTCTTTGCTGTAGTCAGTTAACAGTGGGATTCCATTTGGCTGCCAAAATGAAAGGACTATCTTGAGGAACCGGTTCCACTTTCAAAAAGAAGCACTGATATAGGAATATCTATCAAAGATAAGGAAGTAAATGGAAACAATTAACATTAGAGTGAAAGTGGATGTATGGAAGTAATTACCAAAGGAACTACAGAGCGATCTTTGAAACTTCGTGCAACCTGGACTACTTTTGCTTGTAGTTTTGGATCTGCCTTGTTAGGAATCTAGTACCTGAAATCCTGAGAATCATAGCTTAAGTTAAAGAGTTACAAAGAAAGAGAGAGGAGGGTTTTTTGTTTTGTTAAAGCAGAAACTGAAAAAGATTGTTCTGAGTTGTTATTTCTTTGTTGATTTCCATCCCGGTTTTCTCTCAGTTGAGAAATCCAAAGTGTATGTTTCTTAAACACATGTTTAAGAAACATACATGACTAAAATTCTCATAAGTGACAATATTAAAATATGAGCGAGGAGGTTTTAGGAATGCTGTGTCAGTTTACTGAATCCAGGGATTTTAAAAAATGTTTTTAATAGCTGTTTTTAATTTTGTTATGTGTTTACTAGATTTTTAGTGTTACATTTTATAGTGTTTTAATCTATGACTTTTGTGTTGTTTCATCCGATAGAATGCTCTATGGCAGCAGTCCCCAACTTTTTTGCGGCTGTGGACCAGCTGGGGGGAGCGAGCTCCGTGTGTGTGGGGTGGTGGTGGTGGGGGCACCCCTGCGCATGCTCTTGAGTGTGACACGCCTCCTGCCAGCGTGTCACGCCCACTGCACGAGCACGACATGCCCACTGTGAGTGCAACATGCCTACTGCAAATGTGACATGCCCCCGTGTGAGCATGACATGCCCCGGTGGACGCGACATCCCCCCCGTGCTAGCGTGACACACCCATCATGCAGAGGTGTGTGTGTAGATCCATATCGACGGCCCAGTTCTGTTAAGCCAACAGGCCGGCACCGGGCTGCAGACTGGGGTTGACAACCCCTGCTCTATGGGGGAAAAGGTGGCATGGTAGGTAGGTAGGTAGGTAGATACCAATATCTAATAGCTGCTCATTTTAGAAACACTTTAAAATCATTTAAAAACCTTTGAAAGTACAATACATTGTAGAACACTCTCCCAATGAAACTCTTTTCTTACCAGGCCATTCATTTGAGTTTGTTCCTCTCCAATCATATCCATTCAAATGCTTTATACTACGAATCTCATCAGCCACAGATAGTAAGAAATGGTAAGGGTATAGGACAGTCTTTTCCCATAAAACAGACTATGAACTTCCAAACGAATTGGAAGTGCAAGTGGAGGGGGGGGACAGGATTGCAGCTGGAGATTGATAAACAAATAGTCAAGGAATACCTTTCCACCTTGAATGAGTTCAAATCTTCAGGGCCGGATGAACTGCATCTGAGAGCACTGGAGGGACTAGCTGAAGAACTCTCAGAACCCATCTATTATTTTCTTGAAATCATGGGAAATGGGGAGGTGCCAGAGGATTGGAGGAGGACTAATGTTGTCCCTATCTTTAAAAAGGGCAAAAAGTAAGAACCTGGGAACTACAGGCCAGTCAGCCTGACATCAATCACAGGCAAAATTCTGGAACAGATTGTAAAGTGGTCATTGTGCAAGTACCTAGAAAACAAGGCAATAATAACTAGAAGCCAACATGGATTTGTCAAGAACAAATCTTGCCAAACTAATTTGAGCTCGTTTTTTATCACGTCACCTCCCTGACAGACAGAGGGAATGCTGTAGATGTAGTATATCTTGATTTCTGCAAAGCTTTTGACAAAGTGCCGCATGATATCCTGATTAGCAAGCTAACTAGGTGTGGACTGGATAAATCAAGTGTCAGGTGGATATACAATTGGCTCCAGAATTGTACTCAGAGGGTTATGATTAATGGGTCATTTTCTAATTGGGAGGAGGTAACAAGTGGTGTGCCCCAAGGCTCAGTCCTGGGCCCGGTGCTGTTCAATATTTTTATTAATGACTTGGATGAGGAAGTGCAGGGAATGCTTGTCAAATTTGCACATGATACCAAATTGGGCAGAATAGCTAATACCCTAGAAGACAGAAACAAAATTAAAAATGACCTTGATAGGATGGAACACTGGACCAAAGGCAACAGAATGAAATTCAACAGCGATAAGTGCAAAGTACTGCACCTCGGAAAAAGAAACCAATTGCACAGTTACAAACTGGAACAAGTTCAAAGGAGGGCAACAAGGATGATCAGGGGCTGGAAACCAAGCCTTATGAGGAAAGGTTGAAAGAATTGGGTATATTTAGCCATGAGCAAAGAAGGCTGAGGAGTGATACAATAACACTTTTCAAATATTTGAAAGGCTGTCATACAGAGGAGGGGCAATATCTGTTCTCAATCATCCAAGAGTGCAGGTCACACAACAGTGGGCTCAAGTTAAAAGAAGCCAGATATTGGTTGAATGCCAGGAAAAACTTTTCAACTGTTAGAGCAGTACGACAGTGGAACCAGTTATCTCAGGAGCTTGTGAGTGCTCCAACACTGGAGGCATTCAAGAAAAATTTAGATAAGCACCTGGCAGATATGCTTTGATTGTTTTCCTGCATTGAGCATGGGGGTGGACTTGATGGCCTTGTAGGCCCCTTCCAACTTCACTTTTCTATGATTCTATGAAAACAACTAATGGAATCCAGGTAGGATGCATACTCACCAAATTCCTCATTCTAAATGAAAAAAAAGGGGATTTTCATACATTGAGATAACTTATCAAGAAGACCAGGGCTTTTCTCATCAGCAGTAACATTAGCAAAAAATTTTTTAAAAAATTCATTTTGTACTTAGAATAAAACACGTATTTTATATATGCACAAAATAAAAAACTTACTACACAAAAATACATTTTCCTGAACTTTTTCCTCTAAAATGCTCCAAAATGTGAAAAATGCACACAAGATCTTGTTAATTTTGCCAAGCAGTGAGGAAATTTTTTTCTTTTGTTTTCAAAACAAGAAAATACTACTTTTGTTGAAAAACAGCCCTGAGAATTGCTTTGTGAGAAGTGGTTAACTAATGGTGAGAAGTGGTTAAATAATGAAAAAAGGAATCATGTTTTGAGATTTTCTCCTGCTTTGTCTTTTTGTGAATGATGGTGGACACAAAAGGTTATCTTGCAGACCATTTGTGCGGCTGACATTAGTGTCTTCAACATTCAGGCTGCACTTTGCTATGTAAAGTTTGCCATCCTTTCTTCAGCTGGACCATTTCCTGGAGTTTTTAAGCATGGATACAGAAGCACAATATTCCACATTCATAAACTGAAGGTTTTTTAAAGAACGGAATTGCTCTCCTGATGAGATAAGAAAACCAATGCTTGCAGTTTTGTTGCTGGGTGGAAAACTAAGTGCCACAACAATGAGCCAGGTTCCAACAACCAGGCCTAATCTAAGATGGATTCAAGTCCCACACTCCACTCCTTATCAGTTTCTTGACAGTGTTACTAGTTTTTTGTTTTAATTTTCCTCTCATGTTCAGTCTCTCTCAGAACCACACATATGTATACAGTACCTAGAATTCTAGATACCAACCCATACATCTGATGGTCTGGGCTATAGCCTGCACAAGCTTATGCAATAATAAATTTAAGGTATCATCAAATAATTTGTTTTAACAAAAGAAAACAGAATTAATAATTAGTTTTCGTCCAACAGCGTAACATGACTACCCATTCAGAAAATGTATCTTAGTGTTCGTCTGTGAAATTTGAAAGGCTATGCCTTGATATAAAATCTATGACTAGAAATTGCTCTGATTTGCACCCACAGATGGAAACAAAGGATTTGAATGTTTTTAATACAACAGCTATTTGTCAATATCCAAAAGGCAAGGAAAAAGCCAGTTTTCATCATATTGTTAGAAAATGTTGCACCTTCGCTTAGCCTGGACCATCTATAGAACAAACATTGCTAGTAGTTCAACAGAAATATTAGGAACAAATTTACTTATAACTTCTTGTTCTTTTCATCAGAAAAATCAATATGCCTTTCTTGACATTTTAAATTCTTTCCAGTTGACCTTTTGGTGACCTCACCTGCTTCTCCTTTCCTCCCAAAAGGCGCCACTTTTCAGAAACCTCTGCTTATGCCCAAGGCTGTTTTCTTCTACAGTTAAACTAAAAAAGGGGGAAACAAAGGGAGGAAGCAATTTTAATGTAAATACAATATGCAACCAAGAACTCAGTCAGAATTTTTCCCCTCTGCAGGAGGAGTCAGTTGTGGCCTTGAAGACACTGCCAGGAGGCATATTTAAGCAGTATTTTAGGTCTTAATGGCTATACAGTATTAGAATAAACCAGAAAGGATGTTTGTGTGTGTGTGTGTTTGGGGGGGGGAGAAACATTTCTAGAAGGACAGCCTTAGAGGCCATCACCAGCCATGACAAGGAGTTTGGTTCTGGGGATGCAATGATTGCAAAAGTGACAGGTGACCCTGTAAATCAGGATTTTATTTATTTACTTGAGGAGCTATGCAGCTTAATGGGTGGCTGGACTGATTGCCAGCCTGTTCTCCATCATCCTTGTCTTAACTTGTGAGAGGATATTAAATTAAAAGTTGTACTAAGCACACTTCTTAAAAAGCTGTGCTTAGCATTGCCTCTCCCTTATTTTCCATAAAAGCAGATGTACAGTTTGTGGGGAGAGGCTGTTCTCTCTCGTGTGCTTCCCTGCTAGAAACTGGCTATATCTCAGAACAATTGGCTCCATAAGTTATCCCTGCACCCCATCAGAAGCAGTGCCTTTAGTACACTTTAGTACAGCAGAGATGGGTTCATACTGAGAAAAAAGTCAGGAAAGGACTAAGCCCTTCCTATTTGAGCTGTGTCGGGATCCACTGTTGAAAAATATAGGAGGCCATTGTCAAAAAGGCATGTTTAATGTGGCATTTGTATCAGAGAGCCAAGTCTAATGAGTTTTTTAGAACAGTGGTTCTCAACCAGTAGCATACATACCACTGATGGAATACAGATATGCATAAGAGTACAAGCTGTTGAATTTTTGGTTTAAAAAATCTGTCATGTAAGTTATGCCTATGGAAGGGGATAACAGTACTGGCAGATGGAGAATTTCAAAACCTAAAGACATCTTCCTTCCATCTCATAGATCCCATACAATGAAATGGATTATTCACATGCTGGACAAACCTTGGGGTAAAAGGAGAAAGTATAATTGCCAAAAATTGATCTTTGATATTAACATCATAACTAGACATGGGGACGAATAAAAAAAACGGTTTTTGGGATATTCGTAAAAAAAATTGCTGCTTCGTTAAATATTCATCCTTCATTGTATTCGCGAAGGCTTTCACGTCCGGGATCTAATGGTTGTTGTGGGTTTTTCAGGCTCTTTGGCCATGTTCTGAAGGTTGTTCTTCCTAATGTTTTGCCAGTCTCTGTGGCCAGCATCTTCAGAATCACTCCCAAGCGAACTACACCAGAGCAGAGAGTGCTGTCCTCTGAAGATGCCGGCCACAGAGACTGGCGATAGGAAGAACAACCTTCAAATCACGGCCAAAGAGCCCGAAAAACCCACAATAACCATTCATCCTTCATATTCGTCAGTTCCAGAGACCCCCAACGATTATGAAGGGACAAATATTTACCCATTGTTATTCATCCTCCATAGGAAGAGAGTCTCTTCCTATGGCCTTCCCATTCTGCCTATGGGCCTGCCAATCAGCTGCTCACCCGATCGCCTGTCCCCTTCCCCTCCCTACCTTAGCCGCTGCTGCCATCCACCACTACCCAGCGCCACCATAATCTACTGCCACCCACTTCCCCTGCCATCGGCCTGCCATAAGGGACACTGGCTCCCTTTGCAAAGATGGCAACTGCGGCTTCTTTTAGGGCAGGGAAGTTACAGCCACCATCTTTGCAAAAGCCAGCCCAGATTATTTTAGCCTGCCTTAAAGGAATCCAGGCTGCCCTTTGCAAAGATGGTGGCCGTAGCTTCTCTTAAGCAGGGAAGCTGCAACTACCATCTTTACAAAGGGCAGCCTAGTTTTCCTTAAAGCAGGCCATAGTGGTGGAGGTCCTCTCAGCAAGCAGTGCTGGATGGAGATTGCACAGGCCACCATGGCACAAGTCTTTGTGGATGGTGGCGGCAGCAGTGGCAGACTGTGGCAGCCAAGGTAGGGAGGGGACAGGGGTAGTGGGAAGGTAGTGGGCAGACTGTGGGCATGGAGGGGTCTTTTTTAAGGCAGCCTTCAGCTGTCTAACCCCTATCCCCACAAACCAACAAATCAATTTGTGTTTCATTGGTTCATGGGGAGAAGATTCGTGCTTCATCAACTTTGATGGATCATGAAGCAGGCCAATTCACCAAAATGGTAATTCATACCCATTTCTTATCATAACCGTTCTGTAGGTGTAACCTACACAACAGGATTTTGGCCACAAAGAATTTAGTTATGAAGAATTCATATTCTCTTACTCCTTGGATTCTCCTGGAAATGTGAAGGAATTAAAATATAAAGGCTGTGTCCTGTTGCTTAAACATGGAATAGAAGGGAAATTGTAAAATCATCCTGCCCATTTTGGCAAGCTCCTCATTACATAGCTATTCTCAACGGGTTATCAGAAGTGTCACCCAACTGGTCACCTGCTGGAGTGGTATAGGCTGGGGGGAAGGGTCAAGCTTATATGATTTCCCTTCCATTTTGTGTTTAGCCAATGAGGTATTAGCCAAAGTTTTTGCAACCTGATATGAAACAAAGATAGGAAGAACATGCAGGTAACAGTCAAAGAAATGCAATGAGCTTAGGGCTGAGAGATTTTTACATCACTATCTTGGATAAGTGCCAGCCCCTCTTTCTCATCCTGACCTGAGTTGCAGGGTTGCTGTGTTGATCAGTGGGGGAGATGAGATGCTAGTTGCACTGACTTTGCACTATGTAAAATGGAAATACAAGTTTGAGCTTTTTTCTATGTGTCAAAGAGAGATCAGATCAGAACTACATCCTGCTGTGTGAAATCTGCAGTAGAACTACTTTAGAAATGTGGTTTGAGGGTAGAAACCTAAAGATTTTAGCAAGATTCAAATAGGATCATTATGTATATGGATAATTAAGGCATCTATGATTATACCAGTGTGGTTAAAACCACTCATTTTTCGTGGTCTAGACCTTCCTGTAGAGGTTTCTAAGCTTTTGCTTTTTGTAGGTGCATCCAAAAATGTCTTCCAGGTCTTGAACTTGAACTTCTTAAATTTCTAGTTTGAACTTCTCTGAAGCTTTTGATATTGATTGTGGTCAAAGGAAAGATAACAAGGCTAAGCTGATTACTATCAATATCTGAATAGGCAGGCAGCTATAACATGAGACAGTTATGGTCTGATGTTGTTTTGCTAGCATACCTATAAATAACTGCTAAAGGAAATGTTTACAAAGTCCAAAATAAATATTTTGCCTTGCTTAGGAGGAAGTGGCTTGCTGATTTTTTACGAAATATGCATGTTATTGGTGGTTTCCATTTTCTGTTGTGGAAAGTATATATCCAATAGTGTTTGTAAAAAACACATTGTCATCTTTTTGGTATTTTTTATATCCTTTCAGAACAGCAGTTGCATTTCCAGATGTTCATTATTACTACAAAATAGTAACTGCTAGTTATTCTGACACTACAACATGTTTTTATGAATTCAAAGAACATTTCATTCTTGCCCAGTAAACAAAGAACAGAGTTAGGAATCTTCTAATACAGAACAGCAGCACAAAACATGTGCTGGATTATGCCTCAAATATATACTGTAAGCTAATTAGGGAAGTGTTTTAGAATTGCTTTTAGAAAGTGGAACTACAATCTATGGATGGATGCTAAGCGGAGGCATTTGAAAAAAACTGAGGAAGATGGTTTGAAACCATTCTTTCTTTCCCCAGTTTCTCCTTCCTGAGCATTATTGCAGTTAAGAGTTAGCCCATTTATTGTGTTCTACTAGCTCCATTTCTCCTTGCTGAGCATTATTGCAGTTAGAGTTAGCCCATTTATTGTGTTCTACTAGCCATCCAGAAGGGTGTGGTGGCACTGTGGGTTAAACCGCAGAAGCCTCTGTGTTGCAAGGTCAGAAGACCAGCAGTTGTAAGATTGAATCCATATGACGGAGTGAGCTCCCATTGTTTGTCCCAGCTCCTGCCAACCTAGCAGTTCGAAAGCAGGTAAAAATGCGAGTAGATAAATAGGTATCACCTTGGTGGGAGGGTAACACCGTTCCATGTCTAGTTGCGCTGGTCATGTGATCACAGAAATTGTATTCAGACAAACGCTGGCTCTATGGCTTGGAAACTGGGATGAGCACCATGCCCTAGAGTCGGACAACGACTGGACTAAATGTCAAGGGGAATCTTTACCTTACTAGCCATCCTTTTCACTTTACACGTCCTGTAAGTGTATATCCATGATCAGCTAAGAGCCTGTCATCACTATGATAGGGGATGAGTGTCGTTAGGTCTTCACGCTACAGTCTGGACTCCTTCAACCTTTAGCCATCCTTCTCACTTTACAAGTCCTGTAAGTGTATATGCATGATCAGCTAAGGGCCTGTCATCACTATGATGGGGGATGAGTGTCATAAGGTCCTCACGCTACAGTCTGGACTCCTTCAACCTTCTCAGAATGGAGCTACAGTTTAACACTGGCCTTCTTTTATAGTGCAAAAGTAGCTGTAGGCGATTTCTGAAGAAGTAGAGAACTGACAGAAGAGGGGAAAGCTTTTAACCTTATCAGTCATTTTATCAGCTCAAAATTACTGCTTGTCTCTTTCAAGGCCATGTATGAACCCCAAAATTTTTTTTTTTGTGTGTGTGTGTGTATGAAGAATTTCATGGAGAGAAATGACTAGCAGGGAAAAGGTTAAACAATGTCTCCCATGGCCTTTTTCTTGTCCTTATAAAACAAAGTCCACAGGGAAAAATAATCTTACATGGCTCTGTGAGATAGGTATCTGGCTGTGGAGACAGGGGCTGGGAGTTTGATTCCCCACTGTGAGTCTCAGGAGAACAGCCAGCTGGTGCAGCCTAGGGCAAGCTGCGAAGTCCCTGAGCATCCCCAGAAGAAAGGAATGGTAAACTACCTCTGAGTATTCTGTACCTAAAGAATCCTGGAAAGGATTGTCAACAGTCA